CAAATGCAGACATGGTTTTATGTTTACGCAGACAGTATAAGTCATTATAATCAGTAATTATGTCCCCACTGGATGCAACAAATGCCCCGTTAATAATGGGTTTTATTGGTTTTGTCTCATCGTGCCGGGACACGGCATCACAGTATGTTAAGGGGCGTAACATTTCCGTCACACGCTTGAGGTATTCGGCCAATCACAACGCACTGGATAGCTGGCCAATCAGAGCACACCTCGCTTTTCAGAACGATGAGCTTTGTAAAAATCAACGAGTTTCAGAAAGGCGGGGCATAGAGGAGAAACAATAATGTACAGTATGTGGAAAATAATGTGTTTTTTGAAACTTAAACCGCATAAACACATTTCATTACACCAAATACACAAAATAATGTTCTTTTTAGCAGCATCATATGACCCCTTTAAATGTATCTACAACTATCTGAAGACTGAAACTGAGGATATGCACTTGGACAATGAACCTTCACAACAATACAGCCTTCAGCATCTGTCTGTAATTACTAACCCACCTATTTCCTGCCTTTATATTCTGAACACATGCAGATGTGTTGCTTTTTGTTTTTGTCTCTTATAATCCACCATTATCAGTCTGATGTTTAACCATTAGCAGCTCGTGATGTTTGCTGCTGTCGTTGTCTCTGTGAAAGTCTTTTCAAACACTCATGCCTATAGTATTTGGTCTTTGTTCTGTAACTGAGCAGCTGGAGAGTGTTAGACACTGACAGCATCACATGCAGGAAGAATTTTTCAGGAATTTTTAACAGAGATCGTTTCTTTCAGTGCTTCCAAAACACCCATTCTGAACGATATCCCCGTTACATAACAACAAAGAAAATATTAATCTGTAACTGGAAATGTTTGGACGTCTGAACTCAGCGACCCTGATGATACATGGAGAATATTTTCAAGTTTATACTTCACAGTTTAGGTTAAAGGGGTCATAGGATGCTACATGCACTTTTACAAGCTGTTTGAACTGAAATGTGTGTTGGCAGTGTGTGTACACAACCACCCTATAATGATAAAGATCCACTCAGTGTTTATTTATTTATTTTTAATCTCGTTAAATCATTTCCCCTTTCTCAAATCGAGCCGATCTCAGATGCCTGTCTGTGTGACCTCACACAGACAGGCCCCTCCCACGATAGTTTGATTGACAGTAGCGTTTCAGCACAGACTGGACTGGTGTCTTACCTTAGCTCCGCCCTGAGTGACTGTCATCAGTCCGCCATTGTTTCACCGCTGGAGCAGATGTAGACAAGAATGACTCCTGAGCGATTGAGGTGTTCTGTTGTTGGATGTAATAATGAACATAGCAGTCGTCATTTACTCCCAACATCTGAGCCGCTGAAGACGCAGTGGATTACATATTTTTCTGAAGGGAATACGCCCCAGATCTACCTAAATGCCTCTATCTTCACGCGAATCATTCGTGGTCCAGCTTCACCTCCAGAAGAAGTGAGTATAAGGTTTTTTAGTGAATCTTTGCAAATCGCCTTTCTTAATAACGTGCTAGTTAGCAAGTTTCACGATGAATGCGGCTAAAGTAAACAGTCCCTCAGAGAGCGGCTCGGAAAGAGGGGCGGGGCGTGCAGAGCACATTTGCATTTAAAGCGGCATGCAAGAAAACAGCTGGTTCTGAAAAGAGCTGTTTTTGACAGGGTAAAAACAGTGTTGTTTTACACTACCATTGAGAAATTTTAACCAAACTATGTTACAGACTTTTCATTAAGACCCTAAAGAATCATATCAACTTGTGGAAAAATTGGCATCCGATGACCCCTTTAAAAATATTATAATGAGAGAAATTACAAATGCAAGTATCAAATCATTTCTATACATGGTTAAATTTCTTTAATTACCTTAATCTCACTAAAGCCTGTGACCCTGTTGAACTCAAAGCATGTGAAATACAGAAAGAGGATCTTGAAAGAAGATTTGGCCTGATTTTGTTTTCATATCTTATAGTCAAGTTTGGACTCGGAGTCTGTTAACTTGTTTCATTTGTAACCTTTGTATATATATATATATATATATATATATATTTATTTATTTAAAGATATACTTAGTTTTTCTGAAGTATTTGAATTTATATGTAGGATTGAGTTGTGGTCTGAGAACATGTGGTTTTCAGGGTAAGTAGTAGTAATATAATTTTGTCAAAATTTTGATAAAGAAAAGTAAAATGTGTTTATTGTCCAACAAATCCCATTCCCTTATCAATACAGACATAAGAGTAGTATTCAGTTTTTCTATAATATGTACATATTTACAACATACAAGATACTTTTTACATACAGTATTATACAGTATAATATTAAATGAAGATCCTTTAAATATAAGCATCGGATATTCTGTTGCCAAAATATTGTACAAATATTTCAGGATGTCCTTTGTAGAACTGTCCGAGCAGACGGCGCTTCTCTTTCAGAGAGAGCTTCGAGTTCTCATGAATAGTTTTCAGTAACGTCCACAGCTCCTCTCTGGTAGTTTTCTGAACTGTTTCCAGGTAATCTTTTCCAGTCAGACGGCGACAGTACGTTGTTCCTGAAAGAGAGGGAAGATTTGAAATGCATTCTCTTAGCAAATCAAGGATCATCCATTATTACCAGTGTTTATTTACAAATTTGTCTCACAAACATATACTATGATAAGATTGCGATGATGCTTTACAATAATGTTCTCATTTGTTAACATCAGTTAACTGCATAAGTTAACATGAACTAACAATGAAAGCTACTTCTAAAGCATCTATTAATCTCAGTTAATGTCAATTTCAACATTTACAAATACGTTATTAATCTGAACGGTCATATGATGCTGCTAAAAAGAACATTATTTTGTGTATTTGGTGTAATGAAATGTGTTTATGCGGTTTAAGGTTAAAAACACATTATTTTCCACATACTGTACATTATTGTTTCTCCTCTATGCCCCGCCTTTCTGAAATACGTCGATTTTTACAAAGCTCGTCGTGAACATTTGGGCGGCGTTATGCAAATCTTCCCACATAGTGATGTAGACATGTGGGGGCGTGTTAGAACGAGCCGTTTTAGGTAGGCGTGGTTGACTCTTAACTTTGATAAAGAATATCTCTTTGGATTTGAGACTTTAGTCTTTGCAACTTTACAGATCTTCTTTACGCACCAAGAGCTTGTAACACTCCAAAGAGAAAGGAAAAATTGAAATCGCATCATATGACCCCTTTAAAATCAAAAGTTGTATCTGTTAGTATTATTTAACGGACCTGAACAATATTTTTTCACTATTCTCTTGCATTTCTTCCTGTTATTATTGTAAAAGTTTAATAAACAAATTAAGCACAAAAGAAAAAAAAAAGTAACCAGCATGAAAGACTTGACATAAATTTTCCATATATTTGTAGTTTTACCTGTGATGAGATTGGGATCTGTTCCTTTGATGATACTGGCCAGTTTATCACTTACAAGTTTGTGCAATGTGACGGGAATCTAGGGCAAAAAGATGCTGTCAGTTCACTCCAGGCACAGAAACACAAATTTATGATAGAACAGTGACCTAAATTATTGACAAGGCAGACGAATGTTTCATTTAAAAAAAACAAAAACAAAAAAATACAAGGACCATTACGATTGTTATATATGCTGATAAAAACTATTATTCAAACATGTGGGGTCATTAAGATTAAGATTTTTTCTTTTTTGAAAGAAGTCTCTTCTGCTCACCAGGGCTGCATTTATTTGATCAATAATATCGTAAAAACAGTAATATTGTCAAATATTATTAAATGTAAAATTACTGTTTTGTATGGGAATATTTCTTAAATGTAATTTGTTCCTGTGATGCAAAGCTGTATTTTCAGCATCATTACTCCAGTCTTCAGTGCCACATGATCTTTCAGAAATCATTCGAATATGACAGTTTATTTTTTATTTTTACCAACATTGAAAACAGTTTTTACTGCTTAATGTTTGTGAAATCCATGATATTTTTTTCAGGATTCTTTGATGAATCGAAAGTTCAAAAGAACAGCATTTCTTACAGACCCCAATCTTTTGAACAGTAGTGTATATTATACAGTGTATGTCTGGTTGTATTTTGTTAACAACACTGTCACAGAATATGACAGTTTATTTTTTATTTTTACCAACATTGAAAACAGTTTTTACTGCTTAATGTTTGTGAAATCCATGATATTTTTTTCAGGATTCTTTGATGAATCGAAAGTTCAAAAGAACAGCATTTCTTACAGACCCCAATCTTTTGAACAGTAGTGTATATTATACAGTGTGTGTCTGGTTGTATTTTGTTAACAGCACTGTCACACACACACACACTGTGCAGATAGTTTTGTAGTGTTTTTAGCGGCCAGTCTGAGCTGCTGACTCACCTTGAAGAGGTCATGGTGCTTGTCCGTCATGAAAAGAACCAGAAGATCAACCTTCCCCTTGGCTAGTTTAGTCCCATACACAATAGCATTGGAGAACGCCCTCTTCACTGCCATTCGGTTCTCTATCTACAGAACAGAACAAACAAACAGCTTTCTGTAGGGATGAAGGAATGGTATTTATGTAGGTGTAATAAATGATTATCGGCCGAAAGCAGAAAAGAGGCTGTTGTTTCATTCAGTCTTTTCACAAGCATGGCAACTGCAAAGCTCACTTTAGTTTCAGTTTTTAACAATGACACTTTTGTGCGATAGAAACACTGTCGTACTGTGCACTGATCTGATTTCGCAGCAAACATACTGGACGTTCGACATCAATTCCAGTGCAGATCATTTTTTCCATATTTTGTGATTTCCAAACACATTCTGCAACTATGATGTTCATCTATGTCTTTCAGAAACTAAATCAGAGTGCTCTTATTTATTCATCAACCACATCAACACTTCATTTCCTCCATTACACAGCATAAAAAACACACTCAAACCGTATTATCCAGATTATTCGTACCTCTTTGTGTAGTTTGATCTCCTGAGGGCTGGCGGCGAGTGCCATAAAGCGCAGTAGCCTGCGGAGCTCCTCTCTACTGCGTGAATCCTGCAGCTTCAGACAGAGCTGAAGTGACTCCAGCGCCTGCTCCTGCTTCCCATTCACTGCACACAAGCAGAGAAATATAACAAAGTGAGTTGTGACAGATTTTCAGCAACATTCCAGTGGCCTGTAGTACATTGCTAGGGTGTTATGGATGGCTATTAAGTGGTCTCTAAGGTACTGCTATTGGTTTTCAGCAACTAGATTTGATCCTGTAGCACAAACATTTCAAAAAGCACCCCCTTCACATTTGTTTAGAACTACTTTGGACTGTTTTCACGGGGAAACAGTGCTTGATCTGTGCATATTTCTCTCCTGATTCAGATGAGACAACTTCTTCACTGCGGAAAGCAATATTATGAATAAAGTAATTGTTTTTGGCCAGAAGCAACGGTTTACAGTTAAAAACATCTTAATGATGTTTACAAACACTCAGCTTTTCGTTTCACGAGACATTAATTGATGGACTGGAGTGGTGTGGATTACTTGTGGATTATTGTGATGTTTTTATCAGCTGTTTGGACTCTCAATCTGACGGCACCCATTCACTGCAGAGCTGTATTTTCAGCATCATTACTCCAGTCTTCAGTGCCACATGATCTTTCAGAAATCATTCGAATATGACAGTTTATTTTTTATTTTTACCAACATTGAAAACAGTTTTTACTGCTTAATGTTTGTGAAATCCATGATATTTTTTTCAGGATTCTTTGATGAATCGAAAGTTCAAAAGAACAGCATTTCTTACAGACCCCAATCTTTTGAACAGTAGTGTATATTATACAGTGTGTGTCTGGTTGTATTTTGTTAACAGCACTGTCACACACACACACACTGTGCAGATAGTTTTGTAGTGTTTTTAGCGGCCAGTCTGAGCTGCTGACTCACCTTGAAGAGGTCATGGTGCTTGTCCGTCATGAAAAGAACCAGAAGATCAACCTTCCCCTTGGCTAGTTTAGTCCCATACACAATAGCATTGGAGAACGCCCTCTTCACTGCCATTCGGTTCTCTATCTACAGAACAGAACAAACAAACAGCTTTCTGTAGGGATGAAGGAATGGTATTTATGTAGGTGTAATAAATGATTATCGGCCGAAAGCAGAAAAGAGGCTGTTGTTTCATTCAGTCTTTTCACAAGCATGGCAACTGCAAAGCTCACTTTAGTTTCAGTTTTTAACAATGACACTTTTGTGCGATAGAAACACTGTCGTACTGTGCACTGATCTGATTTCGCAGCAAACATACTGGACGTTCGACATCAATTCCAGTGCAGATCATTTTTTCCATATTTTGTGATTTCCAAACACATTCTGCAACTATGATGTTCATCTATGTCTTTCAGAAACTAAATCAGAGTGCTCTTATTTATTCATCAACCACATCAACACTTCATTTCCTCCATTACACAGCATAAAAAACACACTCAAACCGTATTATCCAGATTATTCGTACCTCTTTGTGTAGTTTGATCTCCTGAGGGCTGGCGGCGAGTGCCATAAAGCGCAGTAGCCTGCGGAGCTCCTCTCTACTGCGTGAATCCTGCAGCTTCAGACAGAGCTGAAGTGACTCCAGCGCCTGCTCCTGCTTCCCATTCACTGCACACAAGCAGAGAAATATAACAAAGTGAGTTGTGACAGATTTTCAGCAACATTCCAGTGGCCTGTAGTACATTGCTAGGGTGTTATGGATGGCTATTAAGTGGTCTCTAAGGTACTGCTATTGGTTTTCAGCAACTAGATTTGATCCTGTAGCACAAACATTTCAAAAAGCACCCCCTTCACATTTGTTTAGAACTACTTTGGACTGTTTTCACGGGGAAACAGTGCTTGATCTGTGCATATTTCTCTCCTGATTCAGATGAGACAACTTCTTCACTGCGGAAAGCAATATTATGAATAAAGTAATTGTTTTTGGCCAGAAGCAACGGTTTACAGTTAAAAACATCTTAATGATGTTTACAAACACTCAGCTTTTCGTTTCACGAGACATTAATTGATGGACTGGAGTGGTGTGGATTACTTGTGGATTATTGTGATGTTTTTATCAGCTGTTTGGACTCTCAATCTGACGGCACCCATTCACTGCAGAGGATCCATTGGTGGGCAAATGACGGAATGATACATTTCTCCAAATCTGTTCCTATGAAGAAACAAACTTCTATATCTTGGATGGTCTGAAGGTGAGTAAATTTTCATTTTTGGGTGAACTATTTTTAAATCCCATTAAAGTGGGTCAAAGAGCACTCTTTAGTTCAACTAATTGCATTTAATTAAAATTTAAACTACAATAGATTTTCATTTAATTGCATTTCAGTTTGCACTTTAGTAAATTATTTTGAAGTATATTATTTCCTTAAAAGTACTCTTTTTAAAAGTATTCTAAAGTGTACTTCATTTTCACAAGGGCCACTAATAAGCCAAATTTAATTTCATATAAACGTCAGGTCAAGCTAACATATACTGGACTGATCTCTTACCAAGCAGCTCGGAGACGCCTGAGTGGATGTCAAAGACGTGGTT